CATTAATTGCAGTATTGATTTGCTCCCTCTTCTTTCCTTAATGCTGTCTGTATAGTCTAGAGACTGAAGAAGCAGCTTGATTTAAGTTAAAGCTTAGCTTCCAAATGGAATATGTTGTTTATCAGAAAATCATCACCAGTGTTTTTCCAATGAATGTGTTTACTGCAGGTCTTAGGAATATGCAGATACATGGAAGCAAAATCCGTGTGTGACTTTGTTTTGGCCAACAAAGACATCATTAGCCTCTCTTCTGCAAAAATATTCTAAAATCTGTAACAGAGGAGTAAAAGGCAGAAGTACTAATTACATTTTTTGTGGATTTTTTTTTGTTTTGGTTTGTTTTTTTTAGTTTTGTTTGTTTTGTTTTGTTAGTGTTTGTTTGGTTTTGGTTTTTTTTTTTTTTAATCTCTGGTAATGTATCAACCTTTGTCATGAGTATGTTATTATTACTAAAACACTTGCAAAAGTGATCGAGGTCAGGCTCAAAGCAGAGTGCTGTATTAAAGCTTTGTATTCTCTTCTCCACTCACATATTTTTCCATGCAACTCCCTTTTTTTTTAGGTTTATAGCTTTTGTGCAATGGTACCTGTGCTAATTTCCATCTGAGGTGGGCCATGCCATACTTGGCCTTGTCCTACTCTGTTTGAATGCCTCAATAATATGGCACGAGAATATTGCTAGGAGTTTCCTGGGAAGCTGTTCCATGACTCTTTTCCCATCTTATTCGCAAATATGTTACAAATACCTCAAATGATTACATAATTGTTTTCAAGTAAATATACAATTATGATTCTAATGCAATCATTAGATTATAATAGTTTATTATCAAGAAGGTGATGGTTTATAAAGCAAGCTTTATAAACCAATGCTATACTAGGCTTTGTGCTTAAACTCCACCTTTGTATTCAGATTTGCCCTGCAGCACTGACAGGTTAAATGCCTGGATACCTCCTGAAAGGTGATTTGGTGGATAATGATACAAATGAAGACCCTATTTTGCCATCAGGGGTTAAAGTGCTATTATATCAGCAGCAGTGCTCTTGATCTCACATCTGGTTACAGACAGAGGCATGATTTCTCACCACCACTGTTGTGGAGTTGTGTCACAAGCAGTGTATTTTACTGGCAGAACTCCAAGTGAACTTTGCTGGTTATCAGGGTCTGCTTCTGGAGCAGTGCACTAGCATTATTCTGATCCCTTTTTTGCTCCTCTTAATGCCCAGTCAAAATCCTGATGTACTCTGTGGTTCATACATGTGATTCTCTCACACGCAGTTATATAAATGTTGTTTTTCCGTTTGACATTTCACACTGCTGAGGAGAGGCATGTGGACAAAATATGTTAGCCACTCAGCATCCCTATAAAATCTCATTTTATCTTTGGGGGATTGTCTGATCTTTTCTGTTGGTTCATCTGTGTTGCTCCAGAGTGAGGCTGATCAGCAGAGAGACTGCTGTGTTCAGCACTGCTCACTCTTTATGGTTTCCCCTTCCTTTGCATTAAATTTTCCTCTTGGAACTTAAAGTGTACAGGTTAGTCTTTCTTACTTACTCACACCCTATTTCTATGCTGACTTCAAGAAATAGGAAAAAATACTCAATAATCACCAAAAAATCACCAGAAAGAAAAGTCCTTTGTGATCTTTCTTCATGTAAGAAAAATGTGCGATTTTATTTTGCAATGCAATTTTAAATTGCATGCAATATATTGCTGCAGAGCTTAATTTTCAGGCGTATTAAGCACCAAATAGATGGGTCATTTTTTTAGGACCCCCAGAATGCCAGAAGCATGCTTGTGTTCCTCACACAGTCTCTCCAGCTAAACATAGAAGGTGGGGCTCATCATCCTTGCAGTGCTCAGGTGCTGGGATGTTTTGTGACGATCCCCAGTCTCCTGGACAGGCAGTGCAGATGATGTGAAAAGCAGCAGTGCACTGCTGGAAGCCAGGGTATCTGCAAAAAGAGAAGGTGAGATCTGTAAAGAAGTATCTTCCCAATTGTATTTTTTATTCTTGCTTGTTGAAAAAGAGTCCCTGCCTTCTGGGAAAGCCAGCTTCTGGTGAGTAGGGCTGGAAGTGTTTGCCCTGGGATGAGATCTGCAGGGGCTGGAACATGGAGCCTTGCTTAATACATTCATTTTTTCTTTCATGACATGAAGAACAGAAGTATCTGTGATTGCTGGTGACTGCTGAGGGTTCCTGTTAATTTCAGTCTACGAGTCAAACTATGAGAGAACCTGGTGACATCTCCCATTCCTAAGGTATAATATTGTCAAAGGTCAAAAGGATAACAATTTTAACTTGGACTTCACTAGAGGGAAATATTACAAGATCTTATGTGAAGAGTAAAGGTTTCCAATCATTAAAGGAAAGAAAAAAGAGCACAATTTAAAAATAGTGTCTATAAGGGTAGGGGCAAAAAAAGTCAACTCTTTACTTGATGTTCATTAGAAGTCATAAGTAACTGTAATGAGAAAGTAGGAGGTACATCATCTATAACTCCATCAAGTAGATAGTTTGGTCATGCCTATTTCCTCTCCTTGGGTGAACCATCTGTGAATACTTTACTTACTGGTGATTGAACTTGAACAGGAGAAGTGAGTGATCTTGTGGCAGCAAACATGCTCAGCTCCTTCCCTAGGGCATGCTGAATTGTGGTATATTTAGTTTTGGTGTAAGAAAGAGAGCCAAAGAATTAACATCAACAAATCCATACTGCACCTCACCTCAGCATTAAGACCTGTGATGGTGGGGACAGATGTTCTTGTCCTTTGCTTGGCTGTTAAAGAGGTTTCAAAGGTTAGTCTGGAAGATTGCTCAGGGATTGAGCACAGAGGCATCTGAACCCACTGTGAGCAGAGGCGACAGCACAGCAGGGCTGCAGATGACAGTCTACCCCTTCCTGGAGGCTATGGATGGACCAGGACAAGAGTTCCCGCCCAGGACTTGTCCACTGGAAGGCATTTCCAGCAGCGATTGCTACAGCCAAGAGCCTTTTGCCGATATACAATACTGAATACAGTCTCTTGCTGTGAGAGGCCTGGTGAGGTTTGCTTAAACTGCTGATGTACATAACCCTTAGCAGAAACACAGGCCCAAGTGACTTCTGTTTCTGTCTTTGCCAAAGTTCCTGCTTGCTTAACCCAGCAAGTGACATTTTCTCCATGCCTTCCTTGACTAGGCTTTACTGCTGAAACATTTTGCCAGCCAGCTGCCAAAATTCAATTTCCTTCTCTAATCTTTCAACTTCCTCTGTAATCAACCTTTGAAATCTGCCTGAAAAAAAACCTCATAAGCAACTTCAGATTTCTTGTAGCACAAAAAGGAGACACCAACCCTCAGCACAATTCCCTTGGTTCAGATGAACTTTAATTGTTTGATGTTAGCTGACAAGATTGCTTAGAATTTTCTCCCCAGACAAGTTGCTTTTCTCTCCCTCTCTGATTATTTTTCGTGACAAGAAATGGCCAAGTGCTACTGACGAGAGACTGAGGGTAAATATAATGCTGGGACTGAATTGTACAATGAATGAGTGAGGCATACCACTGGTATCTGAAGTTGCAGGTCACCTTGGGTGTCTCTTCCAGGAAAGAAAGTTAGTTTACCCGCTTCTGAACTTTGCCCTTATGTAAGCACTGATTTCCCACAAAAAAAGGAAATTAATGAAATGAAAAAGCCTCAGATGTGATGGCTGCGTAGGAGCCGGAAGCACTGTTACTAGAAATTTGATGAGTGATAACAGCCCAAGCGTAGACTGCTTAGGGTAGGCGTGTTCAGTGTTATACTGGTTTTATCATTTTTTTGAGAGGAACTGGGGCACTTGTGCTGCTCTTATCTCTGCAGTGTCTGCATGCTTCAATTTACTCTTTCTGGGCCTGGGAGAGTTCCTCTGTGAAGAGAAGAGTTATGCTATGTTTGTTAGCATTGCCTGAATGTGAAAGAAGTGTGTAAAATCTCTCAGGGACAGCTTGCTGGGTCTGAGAGCTGGTGCAAACTCAGTAGTACTACTCCAATGAACTGTGCTGTGCACTGGAGCTGCTTCCACGCTGGGAATAATTTATAAAGATCAGGTAGAAAGTTGTGTTTTGTGTTAGTTACTGACTTGTGAAGTACATTAGGCCAGGGGATTTTCTTTTTTTTTTTTCCCCAAGCTGAAAATAGTTGTGGTTATATTAGGGATGTGTAAACTTTCTCAGATTTCTCTGATCTGTAAGAAATAATTCTGTTGGCTTGTGTATCCACAGCTGTTAGGAAGGCCCTCTTTGGCATGGATTTAGTGGTTTGCTTGAACAAACCAGCAAGGCAGGAAACAGGAGTTCAAAGTGGTGCTTTACTGACAGTGAATGCTGTGGAGGGGGAAGAAGAGAGAAGTAAAGATGCAAGCCTTCCAGAAGTGGCTTTCCTGCACAGACCTATCATCCCCAGAGGGCAGGAACCAATGGGTCTGTAGTTTCAGGCTGACAGTCTTGCAGTATGGGATTTACTGACAGGCAGTTTTTAAAACTCTGGCATGAAGCATTGCACAGTCTCTGAGTACAACTCATTGGGAATAGATTTTGTGTTTGTTTGCTTGTTTTTTTCTTAGCAACATTGCCATTCACCCAGACTTGCTCCATAAAAATCAGGGACATGACACACTCCCATCCAAAGCAACAACTCCAAATATGTTGTTTGGGACACAGAGACTTAAAATCCAAACCAGACCTTCTATACAAAATTTCTGCAGACCTTAAATGATTCAGTTTAGATTGATAGTATCTGTGTCATGTGTGAGGTTTATCTCAACTAAATCTAACAAGCCCAAAAGTTTTAGACAAACACAGTGTTAAATGAACATCTTGTCCATTCCATGTTTTGTTTTGTTTTGTTTTTCTTTTATTGTTATTCCAGACACAAACACTGAAGTGATGATTTCAAAATCACTCAAGACATGCCAAACAATTATAGTCTAATCATAGTAGAATAGCTGGCCAGTGGTTCATCAGTTAAACAAATGAAACAGCATTTTCACTTGCACATTCAAGTAAAAATTTTTTATAGACACTGAGATCTTGTCTGAAGGGCAGAAAAAACAGGTGGGTTTCCTTTTTTTTTTTTTTGGTACAAATGAGCAAAAGAAGACTAAATTCCTTGGAAAAATTTAAAGATTATAGAAACAAATACACAAATCATTTTAGTACGCTGTGTTCTTTTTCATTTTCTTCATTATGCACATAGTTATCATGCTTGTCTTTACACAACTTATGGTCATGTACATTTGTTTTTCTCAAATAGGTTTCCTTTCAATATAACCTGCTGCACTGTGTAGATAAAGAGAGCAACCTTTTTCCCCCCTCTGATTCTCTCCTGCACCCTTTCTAGTTTGAAGAAAAATTTACGTAACTCTTTGATTCTGGGAAGAAGTAGTTTTTGCAAAATTACTAACGATTCTTGGTAGAATATAGTTCAAGTAATACTTGGATTGAGTCTTCTGCAAGAATGTAGTGGTTACTTTAATGTCATCTTCAAAACATAAATGATGCGAGCCCTCCGTTCTGTGAAGACTGTCTCCTTTCAGGATATACAGTGCCTTTGGCATTCATTAATATGCACTTGTATTTGCAGATGAAATGTTTAAATGTTTGATGGTAGACCTCTCTATATTTAGAGTAGGTTTTGTGGATGCATATTTAGCATGTAACTGAATTGTTGATATTTGAATTTAAAAAAATGTATTTGGATAGTGCTTTTCTCATCAGTTAAAATACTGATTTTATATTGGTCTGAGAACATTTTCAAATACCTTTTTTCTGTGCTGTATCTTAATTCACTTTCTCTCTCCCCCATCACAGTGACATTTGATAGACATCACACTGTAGAGTACTTGGGGAGAGATTTTGGGGGACTGCTGGATGCCATGCTGAGGTATTGTCTTTCTGTGTGGTAAAGCCAGTGGAGTTGTTCCCTTAGCAGTGGGAGGATCAGTGTCCAGGTGGCACAGCCAGCAGTGTGTCTGGGAGCACGCACCGCTTCCTGCCATGCTGGTGCCGTGCCAGCCGGCCGCCCTGCTCGGTGAGGAGCCTGGCATCCTGCCCTGCAGAGCTGTGGGACAAAGTCCCTGAGACTGGAAAGCGGGACCTACTGCTGTGACACAATTTGGATAGTGCTGTTTTCTGTGATAGCTTCTTTCCTAGGGGCATTTCTAGGGGGCGATCTCAATTTTAATTGATTTTTCTTAACTGTCCTAAAGTTGTATAAACCATGATTAGCAATTCCTCTCATCCTGGAAGGCAATGATATTGCAGCAGAGAAACTGTGATGGTGAAGGAAGCGGTTTGCCAAGGTTTACAATGCCAGTGGCAGACCTGTGTGCATTTGGACTCTGCAACCCTCCTCCTCCCACTGAGGATGGCCAAGCAGAGATTGCATCTGTGCCTTAGCATTACTTTTCCATCAGCAGGGCTGGGATCTGGGCTAAGTACATCCCAAGTGATACACTTTTCTTCAGACCCATTTTGCCAGGGTATGAGTTTCCTTCTTAATGTGACCACCTTTGTTCTGCTTGACACGTCTTTTAAGTCAAAAGGGGAAAGAAGAATGAGATTCCTCTTGTGGCACAAAGATGTGAATTTCACAACTTGTCAGAAAATATCTTGTGTCCCAGACTTTAAAGATATATAATTTTGCAGCTGTTTCAAGAGATTAAAGTGAATGTTTTCTGGGAATAAATGTCTACTTAGATGTGGCATTTCAAATGAAACTTCAAATGTCATCTTTGACAATTTTAGCTTTTGTCTTCCCATCTGGAAAATGCAATTTCTCAGTGGTCTTAACTGCAGTTGCACGAAAATTACTGGACTGGTGTTGACTTGCATTTACTGAAGATGTCTGGATTAATATTCAAGGAGTAGCTGAAAGTTTGTCTTGCTTTATTTTGTTGTGCTCTGTATTGGTATTATTTGCTTGGATATTTGTATTTGCAGACTTTTCTGATTTGTGTATATCTTTAAAAGTGCATTCCTTTTATAGCTTAAATGGGGAAAAATCCTACAGGGTGGAAGCACTTTTCTGGCAGGATCTAATTGTATAATAAACCAGGTGTTTTCCTGTTACAAGGTTATCATCACAAGTTACTCCCCTTGCTGACACAATGGCACTGGCAAAAGTTTTGATGTGCATTGTAGACCCAGCCTTTTTTTCCCCTCACCTGCTCTCTGTGTGAAGCAGCAGATCGGCTCATATCACATTGAAGACAGTCAGACCCAAGTTCTGGCAGCTGTCAGATATCTACTGGTTTTACTGGATCCAGCTGTCAGATAAAGGCAATCAATCATTCTTAAGTGGTTAAATGACAACTGTAGTCCCTTGTCCCACCTGTTGTATGAAGCTTTATGTTTAGGAAAAATTATTTAATTTGTTTGTTCTGTACAGCATAGATAAACCTGAGGTGTAAGTATTGCTTTGCTGTGTAATTCCCACATTACAGATAATGCAATGTTCTTAGGGAATCCTTACTGCTGAGGTCATGCCATGGAAGAAAGAAAAAGTTATATGGGGATGCCTCACCTCTGTTCCTGGGAAGACCATGCAGGAAATCCTTTACAGCTATGATAAGACACATGGAGGACAGGGATGTGATTCAAGGCTGCCAGCACAGCTTCACCAAGCAAGTCCTGGCTGACCCACCCAGTGGCTTTCTGTGATGGAGTGGCTCCATCAGTGGACAAGGAAAGGACCACAGAAGTCATTTATCTAGGCTTCTGTAAAGTCTTTGACACAGTCCCCCTTATACACAGTCCTGAGACAGTCCCTTCCACAGTTCTCTCTAAACTGGAGAACTGGAAAGAGATGGATATGATGGATGAACTATCGGTGGATGACAGATTAACTGTCACATCCAGAGGGTAGTGGTCAATATCTCAGAGTCCCAGTGGAGATTAGTGATAAGTGGTGTCCTTAAGGAGTCTGTATGGGACTGTATGTTATTTTACTTCTCCATTGATGACATAGACAGAGAGATTGAGTCCATCCTCAGCAAATTTTTGGGTGACGCCAAGCTGAGTGGTGCAGTTGACACATCTGAAGGATGAGAGACGATCCAAAGGGACCTGGACAAGGTTGAGAAGTGGGCCCAATGGAATCTCATGAGGTTTAACAAGACCTAGTACAAGGTGCTGCAACTGGGCTATGGAGACCCCTGGTATCAGCACAGGCTGGGGATGAACAGATGGAGAGCAGCCCTGTGAGAAGGATTTGGGGGTGCTGGTGGGTGAGAGGCTGGACATGACCCAGCCATGGGCACTCCCAGCCCAGAGAGCCAAACATGTCCTGGGCTGCATCCAAAGCAGTGTGGGCAGCAGGGGAGGGAGGGGATTCTGTCCCTCTGCTCCCCTGTGCCCCTACCTAGAGCTCTGCGCTCAGCTCTGGAGCACCCAACATCAGGAGGGTGTGGACCTGTTGCAGCATGTTCAGAGAAAGGGCCACAGAAATGATCAGAGGCCTGAAGCACCTTTACTATAAGGAAAGGTTGAGTGAATGGCATTGTTCAGCCTGGAAAAGAGAAGGCTCTGGGGAGACCTTGTTGTGGACTTTCAGTACTTTAAGGGGGCTAATATGAAAAATGGGTGAAGCTTTCCAACAGGACATGTAGCAGTAGGCCAAGGGGCAATGGTTTTAAACGAAAAGAGGGCAGATTTGTGTAAGTTACAAGGAAGAAACTTTTAACTATGAAGTGGTAAAACACTGGAACATGTGGCCCAGAGTGGTGGCAGATGCCACATCCCTGGGAACATTTCAGGTCAGATTGGATGGGGTTCTGAGCAAGCTGAAGGTGTCCCTTCTCATTCCAGGGGTGTTGATGATCTTAGAATATCCCTTCCAACTGAAAATATTATATGATGCTATGATTCTGTGTTTTGTTATCTTTCAATATAAACATTGAATGCTGTGTCTGAAACCTGCCATGAATATGAAAAGTTCTGTCTTCTCAGAGAATATCTGGGGGACTAGATTTCCCAACCCACTGCTTCATCAGAGATAGCAAACCTAAGATCATTCATGCACATTTTACAGACACTTTCCTGAAAGGTAAAAAATTATGGAGAGAGGTTTCCTGTTGTGTATTGCATCTAGCTGAACACTTGCAGATTGATTAAAATCTTCCCCTTGGAGATGACACTGCATATGAGATTCCTTGTCTGCTTCTGCTTTCAAGGTAACTGTTCACCCCTGCTTTATTTAAAAATGAGAATTTGCTCAGGGCAACATTAGAATGTAAAGGTTTTTTCTAACACCCAAAATATAATCCATTTGCTTTTAGCCATCAGTTGAATCCTGCTGCTCACTGGGTAGAGGTAACGAACATGGTGATGAACCTTAATGTAGGAAATGAGTGTCCTGGTGCCAGACCATTTGTAGTCCTGGCATTTTTATTTTTTTTTTTAATACCTATTTCAAGTAGTTTCCTGCTGCCTCCTTTGTTTTCTGAACCCTGACATGGAGTTCACTATAAGACATATTCTCTAATAATAAAAAGTTGATTAAAAGTCTCGCTCTCTGCAGGAACAAAGAGGATTAGGTTCTTTTCCTGTGGACCATTTCTGTCCTGAACCATCAGTATTTAATAGCTTTCATTCCTGGGTGCTATGCTGCTTTGGAGGAGGGTAGCTGCAAGCTTGTTTGGACTGAGGGATTTTCTCCACCCTAGCCTGCAGAAAGAGGGAAGGGAGTCTGTGGCTCTTGCTGGAGCTTCTCAAACTGTGCAGGAAATGATTCCTCTCCCCCTTGTATGCAGCCCTCTGGTGAGGGTGGGAGCTCTTGTTTTCCTAGTACAGTTGCTGAGAGATCTTGATAAGGAGGAAGGAGAAGGGAAGCTTCAGAAGGAACAAAACCACAACAATAACAAAAACTACAATAACAGAAATTATAAAAATCTTCCCAAGCTTTCTAATTTTTCTCTTTTAATATAACAAAAAGACTCATGGTAGTTGTTTGTTTTGTGCTTTTTCAGGAAATAACTTATTTGGATGCTTTATACTTATGGCTCTTTGTTCATGCCACTGTATGGTCTCCAGTGTTCTTTATTGTATGCAATCTA